AATTGTGACGTAAATAATTGGGATTTTTAAAGGACTTGTTTCAGGAATTTTCAGTAAGAGTTACAAAATAGCTGACTTTACACTAGTCTGTTCCTTTTTGTTCCAATATGGAAGGGTAGTGTATGAAAAAAGGTTGCCATGTCCACTTGATACCATCTGGCAACCCTAAGCAAAGTGCTCTTCGATGAGATTAGGTTGCACCCCGCATATCAATGAGCTGACCCTTGCCTGGATGAGGCTACTACGACGACGCTGACGCTGCATAGTGCTTACCTTCGGCTTTTGTTCGGCTAGAGATGTTTTCAGCTAATTAAGTGGTCTTTTGTGACCGAATTACGTTTGGTTAGCTGTATGTTATGTAGGTCTTGGTTATTTGGTGTCAGATATCAATATTTACAATGAATGAGTGTTTTTTCTTGAGGCCAAATTGGTATAACAAATAAATTGTAAAAATCATAAATCAAACCAAAAAATGGTGCCACTCGCTTGAACCACGGTAAAGAAAACTCTTGCCATGAGGCTGGTTTCTGTGGAAATCATTATTGAGTAAAAACGTATGCCTAATTAAAAGAAAAAGCAGTAGAAAATAACTATTTCCCACCCAGCTGAACTAAGTTAAGTTCTTAATTAAAAACTGATTTGTAGTTTTGTCGTAAAAACTATTAACGTCGCTGTTTCGCAACATGCAACCAACATTTTTAATTAAAAAGTTTATATTACATTTTAAAAGTCAACTTTAGTACCAACCATGGCGTATAAATTCATAACACGTAGAGAACGAGAGAGATCGCAAAATAGTTGTTGTTTTCGTTTCAAATCTCTTCTAAAAGTTTAATGTATTGTTCAACTTATGAAAAACTCGTTACTTTTATTCTTACAAGAATATAATTTTTGCAAGAATAATGCAACATTATACCTCTTTTACTTAGGTACTTATTAATACTCGTGTTTTCCAATATTCCAATTCTGATAGAAAATGAAAAATTAAGCAGGAACAAAATTTTAATATATGTATGTAATAATAAATTCCTGGTAGTACGCTATTTATGATCACTTAAAAAAATCGTAATACGTCGACAGAACATAACAGTGATTGATTACGCTATATCGCATCAACTTCGAGAAATCTTTGTCATACATTTATTATTATTCTTTGAATACAGAATAAAAACATAGTACCTACATTGTCATAAAAACGTCGTTTACTTGGAAGCCTTAGATTGCTTTTGCCACAGTAACAAGAAATTGTTGTTCAAACACGACGTGTTATTATGCGTTTTTCTCATGATACCTATTTATTATCGTTTTTCCATAACAGTTGTGTCCATAGATCTACTGATAGAGACGAATTTAAAAGATGCTGGCTGTTTTATTAATTAAAACAAAGTTACAGCGATTAACGAGTCTTCGCTATTTGCACGCACATACTTTTTCAAAGTTATTGTAAAAAAGTCACAAACCTCTACTAAACAAATGAACTATTTTACTTATTTCAGATTTCAAAGTAATTTTTCTTTCATATTATTATGGGTATGTTTATTCAAATAAACTGTTCAAAAAGTTGTTCCGTTACCTTTAGGATTAGAAGTTTCATAACTTTTTACTTACGTGATTTTCTCGGAGACAAGGAAAACGTTATAAGGAAATCATTTTCACTCCATCAGTGTATGGTGGTGAAAAAACTAAAACCGATGAAGTCGTGTATCATAGACCATTATAAAAAAAACATTAGCACATGATGACTTGTTTATAGACTTGAAGTGATGTAAATGCCTGAGACGATATCCGTTTTATTAGTTTAGGTTTGGAAAAGTTGTAGATTTTGTCAAAGAAAACTAGTTTTTTAAATCTTCCGCCATAATACCGAACTATATTGAAGTCTAGAGTCACAGAAATAAAAACGCTCTGTACTTTTATCTTTAAATTTAAATAATAACACATTGGTAGGACAATAAAACGGACCTAAGTTCATCAAAGAGGTGCATTTTTGCAGTTTACGCTAATATTCCAATCAATGAATGGTTTAACAACGGTGTAGAGGGAAATTCGTAAGTCAGAAATTGTGTTCTACGCATTTCCCTCTATAATTATTAACTGGATCACTGAACTATAAAGAAACTGAAAATTTTACGGATTATGAACTTGAAAATTTCCATGATTTTCCAGTCTTTATACTATGAATTTCCCTTTACCCTCTCTATTTCAACAGCTAAGCTGAGCTTGAAAGCAAAGCTTTTACAGGTATTATGAATTCCCTTTCAGTCCTAAAGCATTTCAAACGCTAGATAGAGCACGCCCTGTATAATATTATCGAAGTGTTACAAATTGATACCCATGCCCGACCGAGGATCAGTCACGCACGCGCCTGACAGTGACCTTGTAGATCCTCTGAAGTAGGTAGGTACATATTTATTTATGTAATAATCGACCGCTACGGATTAAATGTATCGTTTATGATACTGGACGCCTTTCTGAACTTGTCGATAAAATTATACGTTAACCGAAATATGTAGAGTCCCGCGCCTATTCTAATTGTAACAAAACTATTGTTGGCGTATGTAAAATTTAGATTTATTTCATATAAGTAAACATTCCAATGGACGAACGTAAAAATGTCACAACATTACTGTTTTATGTCAGGAAGTCGCGGAAACGGAATACCGGCAAATGACGCGCTCCCAAAAACTGTTTAGGCACGTCCCTAATAACGCGTTAATGTATTTTCCATAACGATCCCGGGCTAAATGGCAGAAAACGCGGGTGTGTCGCATTATGGCAGACCAACCGTCTTGACCTTTGCGTGCGTGTCCATTAAGACCGTTTGGTCAACGAACTCGAATTCTGACGTTATTTTTACGCATAGCTCGGCTTAGGCTTAGCGAGTAGTCGTACCTACACAAATACCTGCTCGTAGTATAATTAATGAAGTAGTTATTACGTAGGCCTTGACTTGTGATAACAATCCACCGTACTTGTACTTGTGACGTCTATTGTAAACTAACCTATATGTAGTATGTACACACAGTTAATAGGAGCGGAATTTACTGTAAGTCGTTATTTTCTACTTTACATACTGTAAGTAAACTTTATGCATGAATAATTTTACTAACACAATGACGATGTTTCAGCCACACGTAGTCGCCGAATCTACGTTAGATTCAATACAGCCTTATTTGTATAGTTTTTCAAAAATCGTTTCTGTTAAAAATTTCGAAATATCCGTCAAAGTGGAAAATGTTTTATAACAATGCATCGTTTGACCTCTACATTACTGCAAATGAAGTCATTACCTCAGTAGAGCAGCGAAACAACTCGAAGAGTTCGTAACTCTGCTCATTACCGCCGTCTGCAAACAAAACTGTATTTAACTATCAAAAGGAGTGTTGCCAGGTCTATTTTGTATAAATATTATGAGACGGAAGAAGGATGGAAGATATATTGTCAGCAATTTGGTTTTCAAGCCGGGACTTGTAATTAATCAACTACGCTCTGAAAATATGCAGGCGAAAATATGTTTAGGCACGTAACAGCTTTCATGAAACGGTTGCTTGTCAAAATGATCGTACTCGTACAGAATGAATCAGACTAAGCATCTGTGTACCTACCATGAGTTTACGTTAGATTTGCTCGCTAGCGACTACGTAAAAAAATGACATTAATTGTATGACATATTGTGCAGCGCCACTAGCGGCTACTTTCAAGAAACGAAATCTTCATAGAGATTTTTGACGTACTCGCTAGCGAGCACACCTAACGTAAACTCATGGTAGGTGCACTGTGTGCCTACCATGAGTTTACGTTAGGTGAGCTCGCTAGCGAATACGTCAAAAAATTCTATGAAGATTTTATTTCTTGAAAGTAGCCACTAGGGGCGCTGCACAATATGTCATACATTTAAATGTCATTTTTTTACGCAGTCGCTAGCGAGCACAACTAACGTAAACTCATGGTAGGCACACTGATCGATAGAGAAATATTGGTATATTAATCCCGTTCAAATGTCAATCGGGACTAGTTCTTTAGTTGATCCTAAAAATCGAAACGTCCCGTATAAATTGGGAACACTAATCGAAAGTTCACAACAAAAAACTAACTTTTGACCGTCGATTCAACGTTATGTTTTTCCTGTATCATCGGTCGCTCTTTACCTACCTTTCATTAGCACTCTTCTCTCTCCAGCATAATAATGCCCATCTCTTTTATTTTTATTACGGGTAGGTAGAAAGTGATCTAATTAGCCGCTATTTGTTTTTAAAAGTTAAAGTATTATGCAAATGACTGCAGCATGCTTTCCCGCGTAAACGATTTTGGTTTTTCTTCTAAAATTAACAAGAACGCAACAAACGACCGAACGATCAATCAAATCAATTAGGTTTAAAGCATAGCGATTAGCATTCTTATTTTTTTTTGCGTGTGCCAAACGCATTCATGAAACAATGCAGTTTTTGAGGCTCTATTAAAATTGATGAGATTATTATTTTATTATGTACGAGTAGGTAAGCGGTGATCATACGTCGGAAGAGTCGCTCGCGTGCTTAAGAATAACGATCCAATTTAGTGGATGTAAATGGCTTCTAATCATTTTATTCTATCTTGAGTGAGCACGTAATTAGGCATCAAATTGTAAAGCACGAAAATTCAGTCACTTGTGCGGCTTTAGGTGTCAAAGCTTCAAAGAGAGTTAAATTACCGAATTCTTTCCTGAAAGCCAATTAGTTGGACCACCCATTACATACATACATGTATCGATCCCTTTTCCTCGTGGCCAAAAAAATGCCAAACTAATTTGGCCATGAGGAATCTTAATTCCTCGTAGCCAAACCGTGGTCATAGTTTAAAAATAATTTAATAATTTCACGAACTCTAAATAATTAAATGCTCCATTATCGCAGGAACCGACTCAATTCAACAAAACTTGTTCTGTGAGTTCAACGCTATGCCCTTACAATATATCTTTGACTAAGTATCTAGGTACTAACACTCCAACATCTTCATTCCAGAAGCAGAATGCGACGGTTGCAGCAGCGAGGGCGACGAGGGCCGCAGCATCGGCGAGCTGCTGCTGCCTCAGNGAAGAGGGGAAGCAATCTGATCCTGGCCCCGGGCAAATCAAGGCACCTACTCTCAGACACTTAAGAACGAAACATCAGGAAAGTATGTAGGAGTTTACAATATCGGCGAGCTGCTCCTGCCTCAGTACACCCTGGCCACGGGCGGGCTGGCCAAGGACCACCGGCCGCTCATCACCTTCCCCGACAACAACAACTTCCACCTCGTCTCCGCGCAGGAGTACCGCCGGCTGCTGCTCTACCTCACGTCTGTGCCCTCGTTAGTATGCTTGACTTCATCAGCTGAGGCTATTTGGTCAAAGACCATGCGAAGGCTGCAGCATCGGCGAGCTCATTGGTATTCCCAGCTTCTGGCCTAGAGGAGGGGGAGCAGTTTGATCCTGGCCCCGGGCAAATCAATGCACCTGCTCTTAGACACTTAAGAACGAAACATCTACCTCTACCTCACGTCTGTGCCCTCGTTAGTATTTGATTCCATTATCTCGAGTTATAGTTATAAGCTATGGACCAGTAGTCTGCAATTCTATGCCCGTGCTGTCCTGGACTGGTTGCTATCCTCGCCTTAACTTAAAATTTTATTTCATGCCCTCTATCTATGTAGCTTCTCAAGTATTAATATTTCGAGCCCTATTAGAAATATTTACCTACTTTATTTGTAATTTATGCTAACTATGCTATAAAATATGTCTTTTCTTCTATTCCAGATTACTTGAAGCTGATATGGGCTTCCATATTATCATAGACAGAAGGAAAGACAGGTGGAATTCTGTGAAGACAGTGTTACTTCGAATCTCCGTAAGTACCTACACCGACATTCCACCACCCGATTTGATTAAGCTAATTAATTAAGCTAAGATTCTCGCAGTAACCTCTTTTGATGATGTTTTTTCTGACTTTCCAGGAGTTTTTCCCTGGAATCATCCACGCGGTATACGTGCTGAGGCCAGCCAGCTTCCTCCAGAAGGCCTTGTCTGAGGTCAGCAGCAAACTCTTCAAGGAGGAGTTCAGGTTTCGGGTGCACGTGTGTTCATCCATCGACGAGTTGTACGAGTACTTCGACAGATCTCAGCTCACGCCCGACCTGGGCGGGGAACTACAGTATTCACATTCAGAGTGGATACAACAGCGAATAGTAAGTATTATAACGACCAGCCGGGCTAGGATGCGCGCCGTGATAAAATCTTATCGTCGATTTAGTCGACAATCGTATGGGCTTATCGCTCAAAATCGATAAAATGGTTACAAAAATAATATGATCGACCATGACCAAACTTCCATTCTTAAAGACGCTACTAAAGGGTACCACTGTGGTACCACTAACAAGTGGTGCTATTAAATTCTACGAATTGTATTGTTGATGAATTTAACACGCGAATGTATTCATGATTGATTGCCTTTGACACAACGGAAAGTTAGCATAATTAACTTTTAAAAAAAATAAAACCGACTTCAAATGCGTGAACACAAAAAAAAACTAAAAATTAAAAATATTGCGTATAAAAAAGTTCATCCCCAATTTTCCACCCTTGGGGGTGAAATATTTTCTTCAAATTCGCATGAAACCCCCCTTTTGATAATACCTATTCAACANTAACTTCTGCTCAGGCTATTGGTCAAAGACCATGTGAAGTCTGCAGCATCATTGACCTCTGGGGGAACCTGCCTGGCTTCTGCCCCAAAGGGAGGGGATAGTCTGATCCTGGCCTCGGGCAATTCAGGCAGTCACCCGTTCTTAGACACTTAAGAACGAAACATCACTCACGTCTGTCTTTGCCGTCGTTAGTATTTTTTGATTCCATTAGCTCGAGCTATGTATAAGCTATGGACCATAGTCTGCAATCTGTCTCCCTGCTGTCCTGGGGTGGTTGTTATCCTCTAATGATCTAACTAATCTGTATGAGGTCCATACTGTATCCTTTAATTTTACATACGAACCACAAGGTCTACAAAGGTCCTTCGCCTTAACATACAAATTTTACATCACGAACCCTCTAGAGAGAGAGTGAATACTAATAGTATTCTTAAAATTTCGACCCACATTAAATGTAATTATTTACTTTATTTGTAATGTATGCGATAAAATGTGATTTTCTTCTATTCTAGGTTACTTGAAGCTGATATGGGCTTCCATATTATCATAGACAGAAGGAAAGACAGGTGGAATTCTGTGAAGACAGTGTTACTTCGAATCTCCGTAAGTACACCGACATTCCACCACCCGATTTGATTAAGCTAATTAATTATGCTAAGATTCTCGCAGTAGCCTCTTTTAATCATGTTTTTGTGACTTTCCAGGAGTTTTTCCCTGGAATCATCCACGCAGTATACGTGCTGAGGCCAGCCAGCTTTCTCCAGAAGGCCTTGTCTGAGGTCAGCAGCAAACTCTTCAAGGAGGAGTTCAGGTTTCGGGTGCACGTGTGTTCATCCATCGACGAGTTGTACGAGTACTTCGACAGATCTCAGCTCACGCCCGACCTGGGCGGGGAACTACAGTATTCACATTCAGAGTGGATACAACAGCGAATAGTAAGTATTATAACGACCAGCCGGGCTAGGATGCGCGCCGTGATAAAATCTTAGCGTTGATTTAGTCGACAATCGTATGGGCTTATCGTTCAAAATCGATAAAATGCCGCGATAAATGTTTATCATGGCGAGCATCCTAGACCTACAGGTTACCAAAATAAATATGATCGACCATGACAAAACTTCTCATTCATAAAGACACCTAAAGTACCACTACTAGTGGTGCTATTAAATTCTACGAATTGTATTGTTGATGAATTTAACACGCGAATGTATTCATGATTGATTGCCTTTGACACAACGGAAAGTTAGCAAAATATCATAAATATTAACACCAGAAAGTCATAATTCATTGATTTTGGCAGCTGTTAGTGTGTAGCGTCTGTCTACCTAATTTCTTGTACATAATCAATTAGGTAGCATAAGTAAACATGTCAAGGACATAAACTTACGTCAATCTCATAGAAAGAAGACAATGGCATTGTCGATCACTATTGTGGATTGTGAACTACATCATCCCCATTTATACCAATGATGATTATCCTTGCGCACTGAATTATGTGTGGATACAACGGAATTTTCACAATGAGCTGATCGCCGTTGTGGGAACCTGAGTTTATACCTCACGATACCTTTTTGCCTGTTTGTTAAACCTGAACTAAAATGCATTTTATCTTCTTTTACAGGCCTTAGAAAAGTTTTCGACTCTTATGAAGGAAATATCGAGTAAACTAGATAACTTTATGCACGAGATAGTGGACTGCGATATGGGAAACGATCCCACACAAACCAAAGAATTGTTAGACTCTCAAGAAACTAGGTCAGTGTTATTTGCTCTACATAATTGTCTTAGTTAACTGTGTGGCTAGACAATATGATTAGCNTGCAAGTCTTGGCGCCTTGATTAGCAAATCGGCGATGAGAATAACTATAATACGAAGCGGGAAACTTAATTCCGTGGATTAGAACGGACAAAATGTCTTTTTAGAAAAACATTGTGATACCTACATAGCAATAAATAAGTAATTTATACAATAATTAAAACTTATTGATTACATTGGGAATCAATAACTTTCAAAATTGTATGAATTACTTAAGTCATTTGATTCTACAAACTATGTTTCGCCACACAGCCATAATATCATTGAGTGAAAAGTGGAAATATTTTGAAATTGTGAAATTGATTTTATAAAATATTATTTTATGTGTTTTTGCAGGTATAAAGCTTTAAAAACGGAACTAGCGTCAGCAACAACGCAGGGCGAAGAATTGTTGACGCAAGTGCGAAAACCAAATCTTACTTATAATATTATTAGTCATGTTGCTGCTGTTGAAAGGTATTTATAATTTTATAAAAATATGCTTATTAAATTAACTATTATTATGAACCTATAAGCCTAATTTTTTGTTTTCGTTTCAGATTATTGGTGCAACTTGAAGAGACTGAAAAACAATTTGATAATTTCTGGCAGAAACATTCCACGAAATTAAATCACTGGTTAAAATTTAGAACGTTTTTATTAAACTTTAAACAAATGCAGGTTAGTGGCTTAGTCTTAACTAAATTATCGCTTATTTCTAATAATTATGTAAGACTGTACTTGACTATGAGGAAATGGGCCTAAATTGAAAAGGTGGATGTTGCTTACTTTTATTTTTACTTCGGAAGTCAAACATTGGCGTTTTTGGAGAGCAAACCATAGCATGATGATGAGACTCGTCAGTGTCTTTCGCCGGCCTGAAGACAAATGCTTCTGACGGTGCTCTTTTTCCTACCAAGTCCGAAATATCCATGAGTTTGTCTGAACTCCTGCTCTCTACTCTCCTGCTGTCTGAATTGCCATGAATGTCTTTCCTACTTTTTGTTTCTAACTGGTACGTCAGTTTTTGTATCCTACGTGTTTTCTCCTCCAAACGCGCCGTGAGCTCTTCAGCTTGTTTTCGTTTCTTATTGTATTCAGTCTGTAATGAAACAATTTTCCTCTTACATGTTTCTAACTCAGCCTTTAACTTCTGCAAGTTTAATGAGTTAATTTCTTCTAGACATTCCACTTTTTCTTTCGCGTGTTTTGCCATGCTCTCTTGGTAAAGCGTCTCTTGTTCGACTTGATATGACCAAAACGACATCGCTCGCATCGCGACATCCATTATTGTATCTGGCTTCATTCCAGCTAACACTATTGATTTGAATGTTTCTGTCGGCTTGAGATCTGCTTGTATCACATCAAATTTATCACGCAATTCGGTCCCACATGCTGGACAAGTCAGGGCATTATCTGAATTCCTTTTAAATTCTTTCTTGCCATGTTCGATGCAAAATGCGTGTGAACACGTCGTCACCCAAGCTTGATTTGATAAAGATCGTCTGCATTTACGAAAATTGCAAATCATATCCATAGACATGCTTGATTTAAATTACAATTATTTCAGTCTTACAATAAAATCTGTGAATAAAATTGCTTTTCAAAATGACGAGATTGACGAGCACAATATTGTGACGTTTTTTGTCTGTCAACATTTTTATTTTTAATTATTAAGCATTTATGTCATTTGAAAAAAGTTTTTAATGTTCGGAATTGAAAAAGTTTCTATTTAAAATTTTGTAGGAAGTTTATCGATTTTAGATTTTAGCCAGTAAATTCTGTTATTTTTTTAACTCAACCTTTTAATTTGTTATTGGTAATATTAATAGTTATTGCAAACCAAGATACGAGTAAATTATAGATAAGACATTTCCTGAGAGCTTTTCAGAGATTTCTGTACTTACTACAAGATACTGCAAGTGAAAAATCTTGTGTCTAGATTTATATTTATGATTTTATTAAATAAGCATCTTTATTTCAGGCGACTTTAGACGGCCATCTAAAGACAGCGTGCGACATGACCGAAGTGGGCGAGACTGCGATCAGAGTGGACAACCTTATACAAGAGGCCAACGACTTCGAGAAGCTTTGCAACTGTGACCTGGACACCGCTTCTTCTGTGATTGATGATGGTAAATATAACAACATAACTTAAAACTAGACTGCATTTCTATACTGTGTAATGTGATTGTTGGCAAACAGTTTAGAGGTAATCGTCTAACTCACCACAAGGCCTAAGATGCGCGCCACGAGAATATGAATTCTAAAGGACAATGACCAAAAGTGGTCCAAATGTCCACCACCAATGAGATCTATATTGGCTTATAGTCCATTAAATAGAGATTAACTTTCAGTATGGGACGAAAAAAAAATAAGCTGTCAGTAAAAAGTTATGACTGTTTGAAAAAATGTAGTAGTTTACGCGCTAATCTCAGGAACTACTGGTCCGATATGAAAAAATATGTTTGTTATAGATAGCCCATTTATCAAGGATGGTTTTAGGATAAATAACATCACCCAACAACCAATAGGGGCGGAGCAGTAAAGACAAATGTTGTAAAAATGGGAAACATTATTCTAACAATTCTCACGCGTACAAAGTCGTAGGCACAGCTAGTATAATATTTAATAAAATTCATCTATAACCGCGCGCCACATGCGACATGACATAACATGCGTAGATTAGTCCAAAATATGCAATGGATAGAATGATATCAAGAACATTTTTCGGATGAAAAAGTAAAAAACAGACTTTTCATTCAGTAATAACTTTTTACTGACAGCATATTTTTGACTGCGGTTTGGTTATTATGAATCAGTATTTAGTAGACTATTTTACTACACAGGTCTCGTTAGTGGTGGACATTTGGACCACACTCCATACATTTTTGGTCATTGTCCTTTTCATAAAGAATTTTATCATGGCGCGCCCTAGCCCGATGGCGCTTTCTTTAACTAAGAATGTTTTTTTATTCTTAGGGTGCTTGCTAAGGAAATAAATCATGAAAATGGGATTTATCGATTACCTTGTGTTTTTGTTATCCAGGTGAGAAACTAATGCAAGATCCCCTAAGTTCTGTGGACCATATAGAGTCGAAGTGTGAAGAGTTGAGGAGAACGAGTGCTTTGCTCATAGACAAGATTCAGAAGAGAAATATGTTATTAACAAAGGCGAGAGAACTTATGGACAGGATCGATAAGGTAAGTTATTTCATAGCCTTTTGTTTTCAACTTTTTTGTTGTTTGACGTTTTTTTCATTATATGGTTTTGTCTAGCCAATTATTTCAAATAAAAATAAATAACATGGATAATTTGATAGCTGCACCATCTTACTTACCGTAAGATAGTGCAATCCAGCCTTATCCATTTTCCCGCCAAAAAATTCATTCATTCTTTTTTATTGTTATTGAATGAATGAGTAATCTTACTTTAACCGAAAGATTAGTGCAATCCAGCCTTATCCATTTTCCCGCCAAAAAATTCATTCATTCTTTTTTTTTATTGAATGAATGAGTAACCAAACACGTATTTCTAGGCGAACGAATGGTGCGCGACGGGTGTTGAGCTGCTAGCAGGGGAGGGTGGTCTGATAGCCGTGGACAAACTGCTGGAAGACGCCAAGAGCTTCGGGCTGACGGCTCCCGAGCAGTTCCGGGAGATGCTGATGCAGACCGCCACGCAGGAGACGAGGGCGTTGGTCACTCAGGTAACTAATGAGGGTTTTCGCCAATGAAAAATCCGCCAGATGGCAATACGTAGACGCGAGGTCCAAATGCTGCATGATTGCTTATTTTTGACATGACATTGACAAACATGTCAAAATCCACCAATCACGCAGCAGTTAGACCCCACATCCACGTCCCGCCATCTAGCGGATCTTTCATTCGCCAAAACCCTCATTGTCGAACTACGGATCTATCAAAAGAAGTCGAGTATGAGCTAGAACTAGATATTCCGTACATAAGTTAGGATTTTAGGCACTCGGCCTAATAAGCTTTATGGACCTATCACGTGCCGCAAACAAAACCAGACACAATCGAAAAACTATTGTTTGGTCCTATCCTGTAAGTAAATCTGGAAATTACAAGATTGGGGTACTTATTATTTGTAAAATTAGCAACAGTGTGCAATCACCGCCGGACAATCAATCTTGTACCTACCTACCTAAAAAATGATTTAAGGATAATATTTCCTTAAATGGACCTACTAAATCTATAATAGTAGATTAAAAGTAGTTTCGTGTTGAGTGAATGTGCTGGCGAGCGTACTCAATCGTTACTATGTTTTTTTTTTTACCTTATACCCTCGGCCTATGCAGGCCCAGCCTGCAACTCACCTAATGAGGCCAGCTTTCCCATGTAAAGTACCTAAACCACTAGAAATACAAATTGATCTCTTCTACCAGGTGGCCCAACGCGTAGAAGACGTCTGGCTGATGGTCTCCGTGAAGAGAGCCACTCTCCAGCGAGCAGCTGCCAAGCCAGCCCGGCCGGTGCAGTCGGTGCCGCCCCAGAGCGCCGCCCTGGCCACACCAGCCAACCACCAGGTCAGTGAGTTAGATTTCCTGCCCTAGTGAGCCGCCCCAGACATTCTGCGACGACCTGGCCTAATTCACGTATTTTGACACAGTCAAAATCTCGTTGACGTTTAGAAGTCGTCCCATTGAAAAACAGTTCTAAATCCATATTTCCATCCATAATCCATATTCACAAGGGTCATTTCGATAGAACGATTACTCGATAGGATCGCAACTCAGCGATTTATTGTCGTTGAAGTTTTGTTACGTGAATAAGGCTACGGTAAGGGCTCGCACGCTCGGATGACTTTTGTCGCCGTGACTCCATGCATGGAAGTAAAAAAAAAGTTTCTGTCACTGTCACGTGGCTACGAGCGCGCACCTCGAGACATCTCCATGGACTTGGTATGAGTGACGAAATAGTAACGGCGACCAAAGTCAGTAGTCACTTTTAGATTTCCCGCCCTAGAGTTCCGCCCTCATGGCCACACCTGTCAACAACCAGGTCAGTGAGTTTTAGATTTCGCGCCCAAAATGTTTTGATATCAATATGTTTGGGATTATGCAAAATGCAACAAGATAATAAATCAATCATAATATTTTATATGAATTGGTTTCGTAGGCTCGATTGGTAAATGAGAAGGCCGATTAGCCTTATGGTAAGGAGACTTTATTACCATGTAACTTAATTTAAATTTTAACCGACCTCAAAAAAAGGAGGAGTTTCTCAATTCGACTGTATGTTTTATGTATGTATGTTACCGCAGTATTTCGACAATTTTATTACGTAATTTTATGTCAAAACAGGAATTAACTATGAAATCATTTGTCATATCAAAGGAAAACCACACAAGCAACAGTCAATACCAATTTCATCAATACAGCTCATAGCAATAAATACGTTTAACATATTGTACCTACATAATAAAACTATAATAAAAATGCCGAGCATTCACGTAAACCAGTAGCTGTAACCTTTCACTATGATAACAGCGATATAATCATGCCTTACTTGGATAAATCTACGCATTTGCGAGTGCGTGTAATGTCACCTGCACGGCTACTTTCATGGACGCTAGTGCTGTATCATGTAAGAGTCGATAAGAAACTAAAATCGATAAACAAACACAGCGTCCCCTCTGTATAATAGTATAGAAAATAATTTTAAAACGACGCATAATTACAAAATAAATAGGTACTTGTCTGGGAAGCGAACAGGAAGAAATAAACATTTTCCGGTACATGATTAATAATCGTATTGTATCGTATCGTTTCAGCCAAATGACGTCCACTGCTGGACAAAGGCCTCCCCCAAGGTTTTCCACAATGAACGGTCCTGCGCTGCCCGCATCCAGGTTCTTCCCGCGACCTTGATTAATAATAACACCTATAAATGAATAATGAATCGATAAAGTTAATAATTTTGAACAATTTAACTTTATCGAGTGTGACATAACGCGTGCGCATAAGCACTTACTGTACCTACTATGCTCTACCTACATGGAGTAATATAGTTGAATAAGATAAATTTTAATCGCAAACACTGATCTGGAAAAGTCATAATTTAAATTATTTGTTATGAAAAGACAACAATATTTTTACTATACATAGCTGTGGGATTAATTAGTGTAGGTACCTAGTTTTCTCCATTGGGCGAATAGAAGCATAGAAATTGGCATAGCTGGGCACCGTTAATCAAATAGTTAACTTCGTTAATCGTTAAACCGTTAATGAAAAACTTAACTTCGTTAAACGTTAAAACGTTACATTTCGGATGATTTAACGCAAGTTAACGTTAATCGTTAATCCGTTAACACGTGTTAATAAAACGAAAAAAGATATTGTATGCAAAGTTCAAATAATTTCGAAAGCTTGTATCGCGCATGGAATTTATTCCTCTTTTATGTTTGCGCTACAAGCTTTCGAAATTATTTGAACCTTGCATAAGTACAATAATTTTTTTCGTTTTATTACAACTGCATTTCAGAATAAAAGCTTTTATTATAATTTTATTATACACTTTAGTTGTATCTCAATCTACAATTACAATACAATTTAGCAACAAAGTGCTCGAAAAGACAAATCCAACAAACCCAAGCTCGATCAATTTTCCACCGTTTCATTCAGGAATTCCTATGGCCACCTCTTGAGTCCATCATCAGGACCCTGGACATCATCTAGTACTAAAGTGCTCAAAATGACAAATCCAACGAACCCAAATTCGATGCGATTCCGCCGTTTCATTTAGGAGTTTAGAACTATGGCCACCTCCTGACTCCATCATCAGCCTACCATAACATTGCATTGTCATCGTACTTACATAAGTATACCCTGCTCATTCGGTTGATTAAAACTGGTCTTAAATTCAGTTGTAAATAAATAAAAAAATGCATTTTTTATATCGTTGCGTTGGTAATCTGGTTAGAAAAACTGTTGTTTTGGGTTCTGGAAGTTCTGGAAGCCCGAACGTACTTGTCAGAACGCGTCTTTCTGTTTTTTGGTAAATATTAGGTACTGGGTTAACGATTAACGGACTTAGGATAATTTAACGGAAGTTAACGAGTCCGTTAACATTTTTTAAAGTTAACTTAAAAGTTAATCCGTTAATAGAAATGTTAACTTCGTTAATTAACGATTAACGGATTAACGAGTTAATGCCCAGCTATGGAAATTGGCAAGTCAAATCTCATTTTAATGACTTTTATTAAAAAGTTGTGTATTAAAAACAAACACCCCCGTCCCATTGTAATTGTATCTAATGAGACGATGTACAAAATGTCGCAAAAACAGCTGCACTAGAAAGCGCGAGAGGTCGCGGCGCGCGCGCACCACAAAGCGTGCCTATAGCTTTCATGGCGCACGCGAGACATTACTATACTACGTGAATGTACAGCATGCTTTCTATCACGATAAAGGGCAGGCTGGCAAGGATAAAACTCATTAGTATGCATGTTATGGTTATCAATAGTTGGAGAAAATAGAGAGCGAAAAACAAAATTTTATTATGACTGTCTCGCAATCGTAACATTATGTAGTAAACTTGGTTTGGCGTGTATGTTAGGTAAGCATGCAAATCAAAAGTTTTATGTTTCATTTCCTCTTCCTTAGCTTTTTACATGAGGTGGATGAGGTCAGGGTCAGGCTCCGTATTCGAAGTTTGTGTCTCCAACTTTGCCTTAACAATTATCCGTTTTCTTCGATCGTGGATTGTAACATACGTTGTTGCCATTGATATGGCTGAATTAATTAGACCGACCAGCGTACCTACTCTGAAGCACGAAATCTAAATTCGACCCTAATCTCTACAATCTTAAGTTTAATTACTAACCTATTTTCTATCTTAATCCATCCAACTTATCATGTCTGCCCACCACATTCCAACAACTAATTTAAAGGACCAAACGACTTTATTTATTTTATCACCGCCGACTTCCAAACATAATGTGTAAACATTTTATTAGGAAGAATCTTTTAACAATCGGCCCATAATGGTGTCCCGAAATAAGTTTCTTCCTGGAACAGATGCTAACAAAAATATTTATTTCGTTCGCCGGAATGCCCGAGTCCCGAACAGTGGCCGAAAACGTCCAATATAAACTCAAAACAAGACAAGAAGTCTTTATTTGGAACGAGACGATGACCTTATTCCTTGTATGCTCTGTATAAAATTTCTATCGTCGTATGATATTTCATACTTATAAGCTTGCGAACTTCCTCTTTGAAATATCTAATTAGAGGCGAGAGCAAACAAGAATTTGGTACACTGTGAAACTCTACACTTTGTGGGTTTATGAAACACTGGCGGACGCCCACAATCTTAGCCTAAATTAGCCTGCCTGATAGATGAAAGGTTCTTGAGTGAAGAACTGTCATAAAAATACTTATAAAAGTACTTAAATACTTACTTAGATACTATTACCGTTATTAAGCTTCATCAAAATCCGATTTAAGGTTTTTGCACGACAAATCATTTCTTTGGAAATTTTGGCAAACCAATCCGCTAAATATGAAAACATATTATTATGTGTAGAGTGTATTGTACTTAGTATGTAAGTATATCTAGCTATAGAATACAGACTACTTCATCTTGGAATCTGGGGTGGCTTATGAAATAAAGTGTTCATCAAGATTACGCAATGGATATTAGTCAACTAAATAGATCTCATTAACATCTTAATGTTAATCGTCAATTTGTTCTTTATTCATGAACATCTTTTATAATTACTATCTAATCATCAGATGTGAAGATATAATTATTAATAACTAGCTGACCCGGCGAACTTTGTTCCGCCTTAATGGCAATAAATAAGCAGACTTTTTTTTAATTTCGAACGGGATAAAAAGTATCATATGTCCTTCTCCTGGCTCTAAACTACCTTCCTGACAATTTTCAGCTAAATCGGTTCAGCCGTTCTTGAGTTATAAGTGGTGTAACTAACACGACTTTCTTTTATATATATAGATTATGGGAGAATACGTCTGGTTATGATTGTTAATTACAACATCTGATATTTTTTATGAAGCAGCAAAACTATTAATTGATCAAATCAGCTAAGACCCATCTGCGCCATAATTATTGAATCCTCATTTTCTCTCAATTAATTAGGTAAGTATTATTATCACTGAAAGAAAAACAGTTTAACTGCATAAACATAACTTGCAAAATATGACTTCATCAATAAAAGTAAGGGAATTAAAACATTTTAGAAATAAATACATTTGCAAAAAATTTCTGAAGTCTTCTGACTTAAAAGAATATGATTTAGAATAGGTAACTCGCAATAACATTTTCACAATTTCACATGATTGTTTTGATAACAATGATATCATTAAGTTCCGGTAACAACAAGAACAACAAACACTTTGATTAACATACGATTAGTATGTCTATCATCGATCATAATCGATGTCATATTTATGGTGTCCATCGCGGGTGAAAGTGCTTGGCGTAACCATGGGGTGCTGGTGCAATATCCGTGACAAATACATGAGCAGACTGTTGTGATATGACACCATGAAATACTGTAACG